TTTGGACGATCCCTGTACTCTGAGCAGCAGAGAGAGCCTCAGTACGACGAGCCGGACTATGATCTCCCAACGGAATCCATTCCACCAAGTCCGCACCCGTCAAGATCCGAGGCGCCTCATGAAGATGAAAGCACAGCTCAGCCCAAGCACAGAATGCGAAGGCCGGCACCACCATCCATTGAAGAAGAGAGAAAAATCAAGCCGTTCGCAAAGAAGCCCATCACATTCATGTTCCATGCAACCTATGGAAGTCAGCTCCTCAGCATCATGGATAACGGGCTCAAATCTGGGAAATCCCAGTCAAACCCTTCGGGGAGAATGCACGTCCACATGGCATGCATCGATGACGTCATCCTTGACGACGATGAGTCAGAAGCAGCATTGACCCATGTGCCAGCAGGAAGAGATGCGCTGTTGATCCTTGCATTCCTCAAGGACCAAGACTATGGCATCCGACTCACCGAAGAGCGAACAGCGTTGACAGATCAAACCATCGAGGCAAGAAGCATAGTTGCAGCATTTGAACCTGATGGCAGCCTCATGGCGAGAAACAAGTGGATCATGAAGAAGCATCTCAGTTATGAAGATTACGAGATGTACGGCGCCAAGATCCGTGAATTTGCCGATGCCTTCTTCAATTATGTGAATTCCACCAAGCAGAGCAAGGAAAAAGATACTTCCTCAGAGACCAAGAAGCGACGGCGTTCCACCTACCAGGACGAAGCTGAAGAAGAGACCATGGAACCCTCCGGGGAAAGATCCGTCAAACCAAAGGTCACCGTGGAATATCACAATTCAGAGAACCTAGACGAGTTCATCCAGGAACTCAAGGGAATCTATCTCGAAACAGATTTGAACAAAAAGGACGCAGAGGAAGAGCTCGCGGAGACCAAGGCAAACCTCCTCCGCTTCATGAGCAAGTACAACAAAGATCCAAGAAGAGCTCATCCCAAATTGACAGAGTGCGAGAGAGCCTCATTGGCACATGTCGATGCCGATGAAAATCTCGGAGAAGAAGAATTCTACTTCCCTCATCGAGGAGAATGTCCCACTATGGACGAGTACAAGCAAGCACAACCAGGATCCGGCTATCCGATCAAGCTTCCACTTGGATTGAAGAAGCTTAGGTCACATGATGACCCGGAAACCATCCGTGCGTATGCCGATTTCCTGGGATCGCTGATGCAGCCGACCGACCGTCCTCCTGTGGACTATCTCAAGATGCATGAGTTCACCTCATCCATAGCGATCAACATGCTCACCTTGAACCAGGGAAACCTCACGAGGAATCCAAAGCTGGACAACAGGGAGGTGTACAACATGCCGATGAAGGATCGACCAATCGTGAAGATGATGATGCAGAACAGTGCACACATCTTATGCCTGAATGAAGCAGACGCATTCTTCAGTCCTAATGATGAGAAATCCAGGGAGCTCATCAAGACGTTCATCCGATTCGGGTACAAGGGCGTCGTGATCAAGCAATGGTCATCCAGACCGATCGCATGCTTTGTCCGTGGCGGACCCTCTGCAAGAGTGGAGCTTCTGGCAAGACACATCTCCACCAAGAGTCAGAATTGGGGAACCACATTCGGAATGTTCAGATGTTTCTTCGGAACCGAAGGAAGTTGCACTGATCCCGAATACGAAATTCCAACCTCGGATTGCTTGGCAACTACGGGAACATCCATGTTTACGGAATCCAAGAAGTACATTGGACCGAGATTGCCAGCACGCACCATTGTCCAAGGACATGGCCGAGACAAGGAGATCGTCGTTCTCCATATCGAGCAGAGTGATGAGTTTCGTGGCATGATCCCGAAATCATCCAACAAGTCACTCCATGAGTATGACGACCGCCACATAACGAGGGCAGATCTCCCATTTGCTACCATTGGAGTTTTCCACATCCATCCTTCAATTAGCCATGGAGCAGCACGGGAAGATCTTCAGAATGAAATCATGCCGCTCGTGACTTTGTACCGATGCGATGCGATCACCGGAGACGCCAACAAATCAGCGAATACTTACAGCAAACTCCAGCACGTCTTCAATCCGGCCAACGGTCTCGTGAACATCCTCATGAGAGCATATCAGAGACTGTGGAACGAAACGAAATCCATTGTCCGTCATCACCTGTACATGAAGTGTGGATCAGGATATGATCGAACATTCCCAGATGTGATGATGACTTTCGTATTTGGATGGGGCAAAACGAACATCCAGCAGGCTTTCCGGAAAGACGAGATGAACGGCATGGAAGATGAACAACTGGAACTCATGCGGAACGATCCAACCAAGGCCATATTCGATTACCAGGTCTCATCCGCAGAGCGCTTCAAGCACGTGAACAATGACATGTTCATGAATGGCTCGCAGGACTCAGTCCCCTCATGGTTTACATCCGCAGCAAATCTGCAACCAGGCAACGCAACTCTGAGAGACATCAAGAAGAAACAAGCCTGGACCCCGCAGGGACTACAACAAGCAGTGGGGAAATCAGAAGCAGTGGGAGGACTATAGCACCTCGACCTGGAATGATTATGGAGACTATGGCAGTCAATCCGACAGCAGCCGCCGATGGTATCGTCGATCCGATTGACCATGAAGATTCATACGTTCAGCGCCACGAACTCAATTCAGATGATTGATCCTCGTCGTCTACAAGACTATACTACAGTGAGAGATCAATAGTTTCACAATCGTCCCGCGTGTACATAGCGTTGTACATCACCCTTTGATACATCTAGGTATCTCAAAAAGAAGCAGTGCGTAGTGTTTTCCATTTCGATAGCCAAGACATTTCATCCGAGCAGAAAAGAGGATGAATCCGGCATTTTTAATACACATGGCTACGGCATACAGCATGGCTACGGCATACAACAAGGCTACGGCCAAAGGCCATGAAGCCAATAGTATTTCATGCTTAGCGCTGGAGATCAAAAGAACTTTGTGTCTGTTTTGTGTTTGGTTTACTGAACACTTGATCTCCTGCAACATTTGGCTCAAGGCCCCTTTTGTGTAACATTGCATCATACATGATCGCGTGAAGCAAAAGAACCTTAGCAGGCCGCTTACAGGATTATCCACAAGACAATCCACCAGGGACAATCCATCCTCCAATCATCCATAGTGGCATATTGGATTCTCTCCGGAATAGATCCAGGGACCATACTACCCCAAAGGTACCAGTTCCGTTCTGGGATAGGTACCCCGGCAGTGGGCCTCAGGGGGGAACCCTGCGTAATTGACGTGTCCCGGGGGGGGGGGGGGGGACTAAGAGTTAGAATAGACCTTCCCCATCTTTTTATGCCACCCATGGAAAAGCCCCCCCCCCACACGCCAAATCACCATTTTTCAACCATTTTTTCATTATTCAATTTATCATCCTTATTCATTAAACCCATTTCCACTCAACACATTTCATAGCAGTAAAAAAACTTTTTTCTCATGTCTATTCCATCATTCTTGTCATTGTTAGGATGCTGGGCTGGAAATAGGAGTACAGGGTAGTTCATAGGATATGGTTATTGGATGGTATAAAGGACGGGGGAGGTTAAGTTCATTCATTCAAAAAATCAAAAATAAACATTCAGTAAAAAATAAATAATTTTCGAAATTTTCAAAATAAATTTTAAAAAACATAAAAAATAAAAAGAAAAAGAATTTTCAAAATGAATTTTGAAAAAACATTTTCAATAAATCAGTTTTCAAAAATAAATTAAAAATATTATTTCAATAATATGGTAAATTGTTTTGCAATATTTGTTTATCATAAACTTTGTAGAAATATTATGGGCAAGGTTAGGTAGATAGAAAATACAAATTTCATAATAAAATTAATTATCATGAAATGTGTATGGAAAGATGGGGAAGGTCCAGTGCGTTCAATCTAAGGTATTAAAGGTTTGATTTTGTGCATGTTTGTTGTTAGGTTCTGTTGTTGGTTTGTTTTCTGTTCTTTTTGCTTTCTTTAGTTGCTTTGGCTTTTTCTCTACATTCCTTGCAAGTTTTGTAAAATAATTCTGTCATATTCACTCTATCTGGTTCACTCGAGCAGTCCAAGATAGAGGACATCAAGGCGTTGTGTAGAAGCATGGGTGTACCAACAGACGCTCTACATGAGCGCACAGATTTTCTGCTGAGAAATAAAGACTTCCAGCGTTGGGTACAGGAGCACCTGCTGCGTGAGCAGTGAAAAGGCGATCTTGTGTTTCCAGCTGAATAACCGCTTTAACCCCAAACCTAAACCCAAATTCTATTAGGATGCCCTTGCTTATTCTGAGGTATGGCACTTTGATAGATGTAGGTATGGGGATGAGGATTTCTTCATATTTTGGGCTATCTATTGGTGGGGTGGGTGGTGCCGTTCACATTTTGCCATCCAATGTTACTGGGATTATTTTCATGATTTGGGTTAAACGGTTAGAATATTCCTTTTTCTGATGGTTAGCCACTTTTTGGGGAGTGAACATAGGGTTGTTTTTAGACTGTTCTTATTTGTTGGAAATGGGTAAGGTTCTCAAGTTGGATCAAGGAAGAACTTATTGAGATCTTGATGTTGAGATGGGGTAAGAAATGAAGATGGGTATGTGAATATGTGTTTTTTGGTGTTGGATTGGTTGGGTGAGCGGATTTGAAGGTTGAAAATGGGTTGTTTTGGTGGGCGTATTCAGAATGTGCCCAAAAGTGTGGGGGGCGGACAAAGCAACAAAAAACACCCCCGGAGTTTGGTCCACCAGGAGAGAACAATTCAAGCATGTCGTTCCCGTTTCTCTGCAGATAACCAAAAGGGAACCGCCCTTTGTAGAGAGTTTCCCGTTGCACACACCAAGGACAGTGGTTTTAGCAGAAACGGGGGGGATTTGGCTGTGGGTCAAAACCGTTTTGGTACCATTTTGGGGTAGGTGCACCACCCATTTTAGAACCTATTTTAGTGGGTGGATTGGGATGTTCACTGGGGGACAACCGGGATTTTGGACCCATGGCCATTTGCCGAGGTGGTGTTGGAGGGCTACGAGGTGCCCCACGTCTTCTGGGCCAGCCTCACCGGTCACGTGGTACTGCCCTTGGCGCTGGTGCTCGCCTACGCCGAGTCGCAGCCCCACGTTGGCGCGCCGTTGCTCCACTGCGTGACGAAGGCGGCGGGAAGGGAGAGGTGTGGGTTTGGAGTTCCTTTGCACTCCACTGGCATACCTTGGGCATTTGCCAAAGAAGCGCAAGACTTACAAGGTGCACTTGGGGTGGTTGGGGGGCGAGGGTTGGGGTTGGGGTTGGGTTGGGGGTTGGGGGGCGTGCTCGGTCTTGAGTGGTTTAGAGTTGCTTTAGGCTGGATTCACGGTCTAGCGAGTTAACGAGCGAATGGACAACCTCTATCTCATCCCTTCGTTACACGGGTATCCCTCTATTCACTCACTCTTTCATATTCACTTCTTCCTGTTGTCCCTCGCTCCCTTTGTTCGCGAGTAAACAGGATATAGAAGTGTATGAGTGAGTGAAGCGAGCGGTGGAAGGAAGTGGGTGATAGGTGTCTCTTGGAACCGTCTGGAGTGGTGAGGAAGACGGAGAGAGACACATCACCTATCACTTTCTATTCCACACACTCACCTTTCTATCATCTCATTCTATCTCTAATCCATCCTGTTTACCTTAGATGGAGAGATAGATGGATGAGTGAAAGGGAAAGGTCTATCACATCTAATTCACTCTGTCACCAACCTGTCCGAGGGAGAGGGTTGGGTGAGAGAGAGTGAATGAAAGAGAGATGATTCTCAGAGCTTCCCCTTCCTTCGTACGTCGGGTCATCTCTGTAGCTCTGGGAAACCGTCTAATCCAGGAACAACCGCGATACGAAAGGAAGGTGTACCAGCCGTGAGACCTAAGGAAGAGGCTGGTGTTATACATCTTTCCTTCCCACTCATTCACTTTGTTCATTCGTGAGTTTGTTTGTCGGTGAGATTCCTTCTGTCGTTACTTTGTACCGCCAGGAAGCCATCTCTGAGACTTGGCGGGTCAACAGTAAAGTGACAGAGATAACCCGCCTTCCTGTTCGTTCGTCTCTCTTCTCTTTATCATGATGTCCGAGAGACGAGAGAACGAGGAAAGAGGAAAGAAGGATATCCATAATCTATTTTTCCTTGTCTTTAAAGGCATTTTTCAGGCAGTCGTGCAAGCATCATTCAGGTTAGGCTGAGTCCTTTGTGGTGTAGGATAAGGTTGGGGTTGGTTTAGGGCTGCTTTTGGCTCTTGATAACGGCGCCAAATATACTCTGCAGATTTATAACGTCAAGTGAGGGGGCTTCTGGGGTTGGGGTTTTAGGCGGGATTCAAAGGGAGTTGGACCCCGTGAATTTGAGGGGTCCTTTTGGTTTTTGCCTCAAACACCCACCCAAAAAGGGCACAAGCTCAGGAAAACCATAGCCAAAACAGGGGGAACCCCCTCAAACTAGGATCACACCCATTTGAGCAGCGCCCAAGCCCCCATTGGCGGGTTTTTGACTTGATTCTACCTGATTTAGTAGGCATCCTAGCGACCCTTCTGGATTCTTGCTTCTATAAGCCATGTATATAGAGCCCAAAACTTTCGGCTTGTTTCGGGTGCTTCCGCTCGCCAGGCGCATCACGACGGCTTTCTGTCCATGCGCTACAGCGCCATGGCTGCCATGGGCCAGGCGCAATTCGGAAGAACACGAGGTGAAGGTTTGGCGGCGCCCCCCCAGCATAGGTTGTTTTCTTGGCAAGGTTGGGGGGTGGTTGTTAAACCTTTGCAGGGAACAGGTGGCAACCACCCCCCAACATAGGCGCCCCCATGCTCTATCCTTAGGCCAGTTTGGTTAACGGTTCATGGGTCCCACTGGTTTAGATGGGGTTTATGCCCCATTGACCAGGGCCATCTATTTTTCCAAAAGGCCACCTATGCCCCCCAGGTGTTGTTCTGGGAAGCTCGACATATGCTGCGTAACGCTGACGATAAATACAAGATGCTTTGAAAGGGACACCAGAAGTTGCTTGGACAGTTCGGTTTGGAACCGTTTGAAGGGGTTGCGTCGCACCCTGCCAGGGCTTTTTCATTTGGCTGCTCTGGCTTTGCTACACCGTGGCGGGCTGGTGGCAAGGCGGTGCTTTGGCCCAGAGACGGGCCGTCGCCCCGTTCCTGATGTGTCCAAGGCTCTCGATATGTCCCTGTTGGCGAAAGTTTTTAGAGTGCGAGATGGCCATGGGTCAAAATCCCGTACCCCCCAGTGAACATTCCAATCCCCACTAAAATAGACTAAAATGGGTGGTGCACCTACCCCTAAAATAATACCATTGGTTTTGACCCATAGCCAGATGTCTTATCTGAAATTTTGCATGGGAGCAGTCCCCAAAAAAGGCCCCCGATGGGTATGATGCTACCCCCCGACCCCCGAGGCCAAACAAAAAGAAGGCTCAGTGCTATACCCCCATTGGGTTTGAATATACCCTTGACATACATATATATATATATACATGAAATTATATATATATATATACATCAACCTATAAACATATATATATATATATATATATAATTATGGTAAGGCCCCCCCGGTCCCCCAACTGGACAGAACCCCTGTTTCTAACTGTGATAACCCCCGCGAATCGGTCAACAATGACCCCAGAATTGATCACTTTTCTGGATTTTGGAACAGCACAATGACAAGCAAGTGGCACTGAGAGATACCAGCATTCTAAATACCCGTATGTCTACTTCTAAATGCAGTATTTGGATCCAAGGTCCAAGATTGCCGTGAGATTTTTGGAGGCAATCTTGGATCCATGAATGACACCCCCTGAAATCTAAATACCTGCATTTAGATTTCTACATCTTGTATGTAGATCATGGATCCAGGATCCAAGATTTCTGGGGGACTCTGGGGAGCAATCTTGGATCCATGAATGATTCCCCCGTAAAATCCAAATATAGGGTACTTTCGCAGGCAAACTCGGATCTTGGATTTAGGATCTCAATACAGTATTTAGAAATATACATACCGTATTTAGTTTTTTTTTTTGGGGGGGGGATTCGTGGATCGAAGATTGCAAAACAATTGCTTCCTGCCATGATGGCCTGCATTCCTATACACGTCTGCTGAACTCAACTGTGAACAACTGTCTGCTCACTCACTCACTCACTCACTCACTCACTCACTCACTCACTCACTCACTCACTCACTCACTCACTCACTCACTCACTCACTCACTCACTCACTCTCTCTCTCTCTCTCTTTGTATATATATATATATATATATGTCTGTATATCTGTATGATACGCCCTTTCAAGAAAAACGGTGGAATGATGTGGCGCACAGGGGAAGGGGGAGGGGGGGGGGGCTCGCTTTGCGGATCTCATCTGAGGCATAATCAAAGCCCGGGCCGATGAAGGTTCGTAATTAAGGGAAAGTCCCAGCTAGAATTCGTTGCGGCCGCCTTCTGAATTCTTGAAGCATGGTTCTGGGATTACAACCATTTCAATATTCATTCTAACTCAGAACCAAAATGGTTTGATTATGCTTTTCATTTTTTTTTGGAATACTGGGTACCCTATACTGGTGTGATTAAGGACGCCTTTTCAAAGCATTAAATCTGTGGGTAATCCAGGGGTCCATTTATACGGTTTTGCTTTATGACTCTGAGGCAACAGCTTCTGCCGCGTGGCCTTTCTAGGGCTCGTGCTGCTGCTGCTCTCCCCCTCCATGTCTTCGCTCACAGGCGGGGAAGACTCGGCCGGGGAGGAAGTTTCTCCCCGGAGCTGAGATTTTTTTTCCTAGGGGGGTGGGGAAAAAGAAAGGGTGAGAAGGAAAGCCGAGCTCCGTGTTTTGGTGGGAATGACGGGAATGGCCCCAAACCGTCCCTTGACGCCGGCGATTCTCTTCCTATCCAAGCGGCAGCGTTGGATCGAGCTGGAAGCCGAAGGCTTGCAAAGGGCTTGTTTGTTTTTGATTTAGCAAAAGGTCGATGCGTTGGAGGTCATTTCTCCACCATTGCAAATCAAAATGACTGCTTGGGTGTTCAAACCACTTAAGTAGGTTACAAGTTGAGAACCATGGTTATATGGGGATTCCCCAGCCCCACGTTTTGTTTGAAGAGTATGATGTTCGCTCCTGACTGCAACAGGAGGCACTTGTCATGGAAAACCAGCCTTTTGTTTTAGTTCAAATGCACCCTTGAAAACAGTGCGCATTTGGAGTAAGGGTTCCAGCTTCAACCAAAATAACGGGGAGTGTGGCAGGGTGCTGCGCAGTTTTTCGACCGGGGCCAAGATGTGTTTTCCATACCCCGTCCTCGAAATGCTTGCTTCCTAACAAAATGTTTGGAACAGAGCTGGGGTGTTTGTGGAAAAAATACTTTGTCAGGCTTTAGCATGTTACCCGAAAGCATGTGGGTATTTGCAGTAGGGTGCCCCGTGGTTCCGCCTTGAAATTTGAAGGACATCTAATCGAGGGATGGGTGTGTTTTTTTTGGTGAGGGTACTATATTTCAACTTAGTTTGTAAGGGGGGGGCAGCTGGACAGCCGGATACCATTCTTGGCGTCCCCTTTGACACATTCCGGTAGAGGAATAACATCTGTGGGTACCAGGCATGATACATGGGGAGCCCGGACCCTTCTTGTAGGTTCTTGGGATGGGGAACTCAGAACCTCCAGGCACCTTGGGATTGTTGCTCTCATGGGTAACACTGAGCTTCCCTCTTACTGAGTGGCTTGGATTGGTTTGGAGGTGTTCCGGGAAGCCGTTTTCCCATTTACCCACAAAAGCCAAGGGGTAAGTCAACTCAATCCAAGCCACCAACCAAGACACTATTTTTTGAGGGACGCCCCCCCTCACCCCCCCCCCCCCCCCCGTTCTTTCGGGCGGTTTCCCTTGAGCACAACCCCAAAAGGGTGTTCCCCCCAGACGCCCAGGTCCCTTTGATAAGACTTGGTTCCATTTGCAGGATCGGCCTTCTGGGAGCTTCCATGTTAGTCTGAGGGAGTGTATTCCCTTCCCAAAAAAAGCGCCCCAGCGACGAGCCGAGGCAGAGACATCTTCTACGGGCCTTGGGCCATGTTCGGTGGCGACCATGACGGATGGCAGTGCTCGCCGTCAGGCCGATTGAAAATTGAAGGGAAAGCTCATGCCCCGAATGCGGGTGGATCCTTGCGAAGACCCGGGTCCACCCATGTATCTTTTGTTTTTCCGTGTTTTTTTTGTTGGTGTGTGTGTGTGTGTGTTTTCTTTTAAAGGAAGAGAAAAGAACACCAACCATGTGGGGGTGGATCAATATTCCATTTAGGGCTCCCGAAGGCTACTTTCCGGCACTGAAGCAACATCCGGAGTTCGTGTTCACGCGACCAGTTTGGACCATGGGTAGCACTTTTCCCACGCGGTTGAATATGATCTCTTTTTAGGTGGGTTTTCCAAGCAATGGTGATCCCATATAAAGCATCTTTTGAGCAATCCCTAAATATTCGCCAGTTGAAATACTTAGAACAACTTGTTTTCCATGGTAAGTGCCTCCGTTTTCCGCCAGGGATTCACATTGTACCCTCAAAACTGTGGGCATTTGGCCCTTTGGGCTTTTTGTTTTTTTGTCTTGCAAGTGCTGCCTTTTTCGCACAGGGCTGGTGATAATGAAAAATGTGGAGAACCTCTTGTTGCGCTCCCCCTACAAACATATAACACCCTTTTGGGGATATGTTTTCAAAAGCCATCCGTTTTTGGTCAGGGGTTGGCATGATACCATCATACCCCATCAAAAGAACGGCATTTGGAGTTTGGGGGGCTGTGCAAAAGAAGGCTCCGATTTCAGCTTGATTTTGGCTTGCGTTCCCCCCAAAAGGGGATCTTCCGAGTCAGAGCCTAACCAGAGCCTAAGACACACACTCAGAGAATTGGGTTCGAAGCAGCTTAAGTTTGCGGGGGCAAAGGGCTTGTTTCTGAGACCTTGGGGTTATTTTCGGGTTCTTTGGGCTTGGACAGCCTTTGAAAACCTGGTTGGTCCGCGATGGGTTGGTTAGAGGCTACGTGGTCTTTGCGCTGGCTGCGGCCGCGGTGGTCTTGATGATCTTCAAGGCGCGCCAGTTCTTAAAGCGGGCGAAAAGGGGCCGAAACAGCTGCGGGAAGCTGAATTTGGTGCCAGTTTTGGAATTGTGCGACAAAATTCCAGCAATTTCCTGAAACATGCATCAAATGTTTTGAGTTGCACCCAAGACCTGATCCCTTTGCTCTAAAAATGGAGGGTCCAATGATCCCCAAGCCAAGGCCAAACTTTGTCTCGGACCTGTTTAATTCCCTTAAGGGTAGTGGGGAGTGGTTCCTTTCTTGCTTTTTGGAGTCGCTCCGCTGGGGGAACCCCCTATTCCCAAGGTTGTCCATGGTAATGTTGGGTCTGCTTGAATGTTACCCACTTGTCAGTACTTGCTTTAGTATTGCCACTCTGAATTTAGTATTACCAAGACTTACTCTGAGATTCAAGTTGGACATGAAAGCAATCCCCCAAACATTCACGCCAAAGAGAATCAGGGGCCTCTTGTGGGCAACCCCTTTGTGCGGCTGTTTGCCCTATTTGATGGCGTTGGGACCACTTCAAAAAAAGGACGCCCTAATGTTTGCCAGGATTTGTTTTTCCGGATTGGTTTGCCTTTTTTTGGCCCACCAGCCAAACAAGTTTCTATTCAAGCAAACCCCGAAACAGCCGCAGGATTCTGAATTCGGAAACACGCTTTCTACAAACTCTTCCCCAATTATAACAAGCAGGTCCGACCTGAAGCACCTCCTTGTTTAGTCAGGGCTAAGGTACCTAACAGTGAACAGTGTCCCCCACTGGAAAACCTGCTTGTTTCCGAACTATACCTTCTAGTCCCAAAACACAATTTAGGGTGTGATGTCAACCCCTGACTAAAACAAGTACTTACCTCGGAAAACCAGCCTTGTTCCACATTAGTCCTGCACCACGTTGAATCCACTGGGAACCATTGTTCGTATTTACAGAAAAAGCCATCCGAAACCAGGGTTTCTGAACAGTGGTGCCTAAGAGGATTTCGCAACCATCCACAACGGAATCCACAGTACTCGAGTCCCCCAACAAGTGTGTTAAAACCCATCAGCCCCTGTACTTCCCACGAAATCCCCATTCTTTTCCAACTTACTTCCCGTGGTTAGACCCCACCGAAGCCAAAGTTGAGTCCCCCTCCGCCAGGGCGGGCGGGCGGTGAAGAGCCTGGAGTGGGGCAGAGGAGCCGCGGAGACGAGGGAGGCCCACAGCCTGGCGCTGGTGCGGATCTGGGCGGTGTACTGGCTCTTCGGCCACGTGAACTGGGGCGGCGAGGACCACGGGCTGCGGTTTTGCGGAGTCGTGGAAGAACAAAGCCGAAAACACGCACAAGCGGACACACTCAGGTCAGAAGAATTGTTCAGTCGCCCTGTGAAGTGTCAGCGTGAGAGACAAAGACAGTGGAGAAAGTCACACGCAGAAGAATTTGAATCTTTCAATCGCCCTGTGTGAGGTGTTAAGACAACGAAGACGGCCCACAGCCAACCCTTAGTTCCTGCAGGAGAGCCCAAAGGAGATTGTTCAAAGAAGTGTTTCATACCGTGTGTTCATCCGTTTTTTGTGTTTTTTTTTTGCGAGGGATACAAGGCTTTTGTGAGATCTGTGGAGCAAACCGGTTTCGCACTGGCACAAAGACAAAAGGCATAATCGATTCTTACGTGCACGAAAATCGACAACAGATCTTGCACACGAATCAAGCTGCAAAAAACAACTCGAAGCACCAAGTTCATCCGTTCACACTCTTGCTGGAGAGGACCAACAAAGCAAGCCGCGAACGCATTTCCGGGGGCCTGCAGAAGGCCCAACCATCGCCTGGTTTTCTTTGGCGAGCCTTACACTTACCAAGGCACATGACTAGGATGGCCTGGAGGGCTGGGAAGCTGAAGCGGGTTCGGCTGGTTTAGGGCGCCCCAAGGTGCACTCGGCAGGTTTAGAGCGCCAAGCGTCTTTTCGGCAGGTTTAGGGCGCCAAACGGTTCGAAGCGATCGAAACGCTCGGAACGTTCGAAACGTTCGAAAAGTTCGAACAGTTCGAAACGTTCGAAGTGAAAGTTCGAGACGTTCGAAACGTTCGAAAAGTTCGGAAAGGTCGGCAAGTTCGAGACGTTCGAAACGTTCGAAACGATCGAAAAGCTCGGACAGTTCGAAAAGTTAGGAAAGTTCGAAACGATCGAAACGTTCGAAAAGTTCGAAAAGTTCGAAACGATCGAAACGATCGAAAAGCTCGGAAAGTTCGAAACGCTCGAAACGTTCGAGACGTTCGAAACGTTTGAAACGTTCGGAAAGTTCAAAAAGTTTGTACTTTCCAAAAATTGGATCGAACCGTTCGAAAAGTTCGAAACGTTCGAAACGATCGAAAAGTTCAGAAAGTTCGAAACGTTCGAAACGTTCGAGACGTTCGAAACGTTTGAAACGTTCGGAAAGTTCGAAAAGTTCGTACTTTCGAACACTTGGAAAAGTTCGACACGTTTGGAGCGTTGGAGAAGCTCGATAGTGGATGCTCACGAGGCGCCATTTGTTTGCTGCAGTTGTAGGTTTTGTGTTAGCTATTTCCCCCCTCCTGGGCGGCCATTTGGGCTGGCGTCTCTTCTTTTGATGTGCTCTTTCGTGGCTTGGGATTCAATCGAAGCGTTTGGAACCATAATGTAGTAGCGGGGACTCCTTCAAGATGAGACAGTTCCATTTGAGGGAGTTGAGCGGGGCTGCATGGGCTCTCTAGTCTTTTTGTTCTCTCTCGAACATGTGTTGCCTCTATTTTACTTGCAACTTGAAGCTTGGTTGGTTGTCAGCAAATAGGTCAACGCCTGCCATTGTTGTGGCGATGGCATAGAATCTCCCATCCTGTGCGCAGACTCTGTAGTTGCTGTTCCGTTCCTTTCCGTGCTGCTCTGGCGGACATGAGCCGTGACTATCTGCGAAGTGCCCGTCGCCGTTTTAGTTCTCGGCTCTTGCCAACTGGACCCAGCCACTCGCTTGCACGTGCGCGCTGATGCAGGCCCTGCCGGCAGCGGATGAATTGGAGCGAGCGTTTCCTCCGAAGGCCTTTTTCGGCAGCTGTGCCTCACTTGCCCCCCCCCCCCCAAGTGCTGGCTCCTATTGGGGCAAGTACTTGTACGTGGTGAGACAGCCACGGCGTGCGAGGCATGTACGCGTTGACAAGTCAGGGCGCGCAGTTGGACATGGAGGTGGGGTGGTCGGATGTCGGCGGCCTGGCGTGCTAAGCGACTTATTTTGGATGACCGACTTTGGCTTCCACGAAGACGGCGGCCATGCGGCGATCGTGGGTGTTTGAAGCCCTCAAGCTGGTGATGGGCGGCGCAACGGATGTGCTGGATGAGACGGGGCCACTAGCCACTCCAATGTACTGGCAGGAGCAGTCCGGTCGGCGAAGATTTTTACCGGCACTGAAAACATCAAAGGGCTGCGCTCGGCCCACTGCGTGCAATTGCAAACATGCGAGTGCAAGAGATATCGCCACTGCGTTGCCCGTGACACCTTTGCCTTCCTGACGCTTGCTGGAAAGAAGCGCCGCATTTGCTAGCGGCGCAGAGGTTGCGCCCAAGGGCCCCAGCTTCAGGCCGTGCCAGCGCAGGCCGTGGCTGCAGATTGATTTTTTCGCGATTGACGCGCAAGGAGGGGATTTTTGTGTTGATTGTGGACTGCAGCTGCGGGGCCACCTTTGATACTCCCTCATCCCATTGAAACGAAACCCTGGAAATCCACGACTGTTGTTTAACCGTCCTTTGCACCTCGCCTGTTTTTTGCAGCTAAAGCCTGCTTTTTGCGCCTGCAATGAGCCATGGCGTGGTATTTGATGATTTTTCAATGCTGTTGCCACGTTTAGATTCTACAAAGCCAGTTCCACCCCAACATGTTTTGACACGACAACTTTGGTGTGAACATAGCGGTCCGTGATCTACGCGAAAGCAGCGTGAGATCACCGTGAACATAAAATTCCGTGAGATTGGTGGCTTGAAAGCCTGTTTTCTAGCGTGAAAGCACGTTTTCTGCCGTGAATTTCGACACCGGTGAACCTATGTGTTTCAGCTGTCCTTTGGGAATCCCTCCGCTTGTAATTATTGTGGGAATGGAGGTCAAATCTTTGCACACTTTGGTCCTGAGCACGTGCGGCGCCCGAATTGTTCAATGATATCAGCTGAACTTGGACAAAACTGGAACCTCAGGGGAAATTTTCAGAAGGTTCACGTGCAAGCTTGTTGCTTGAGTGTTGCACACCAGCTCTCTTGCGCCATCCGCGTGCTTTGAGTTCCCAGGCCAATCCTCCAAGTGACTGGCAGGATGCGAGCCGGGCCCCCCTACTCACACTGCCCACGGTTGACATGTTTTGGCCAACCCGGTTTACTTCTTTGTCCATCTATTCAATCATGTACCTATCTGTCTATTTATCTATCTATCTATCTATCTGTCTGTCTACCTACCACCCTTTCTACACTCTGTTTGTGCGTCCATCTATCCAGTTCAGTCTACCCTGTCATTCTGCTATCTGACTATCCAGCTGTTTCTTTCTAAACACCCAAGAACTCCTGCGAGGATTCTCCCTGGGTGAAGTGGTGGTCTCCCCAGCTCATCCCAGGCGGAGGCAAGGGCCGTGATAGGATAGGTGCACACTTTATTGGAGTTGGCGCTAATTTGGTACCTTCTGTTGTTCGACACCACAAATTGGTCAACGTTTTCTGTGAGCTGAGTTGGCGCCTTTCGTTGTTTGAAAGGGACAATTTGGGGTGGAAACCGCAGTTTGGCCTATGTTTCTTTGCTTTTAGTGGGTGCCTTCTGTTGATTTGTGTTTTCTTTGCTTTTACTTGGTACCTTTTGTTGCCAAAGCAAATGGGAAACCAACTCGGAAACGGTAGTTGTTTCTGGTGTTGTTTGGAGTTGTTTGCTGTTGCTGCTTGAACGGGAAACCAAAGAGAACATCTCAGTCTTGTCTGCGGGGTTTTGGACTTCGTAACCCCCTTGATGTTGTAATGGGAAACCAAAGGGAACATCTCAGTTTAGTCTGTGTGTGTGAGACTTTTCTGGTGCTTGAATGGGACAGCAAAGCGGACAGCACAATTTGGCCTGTTCGTGTTTGTGTGTTTTTTAGTTGGTAACATGTTTGGTGTTGAAATACGACGGGGAGAACTACAATCTGGTTCGCGCGTGCGTGTTCTTTTTTTGAGTTGGTAGCTATTTTAGTATCTGCATGGGAAACTAGCGCGAAAACTACAATTTTTGTTGAGTTGGTGATATCTGGTTGTTTGCACGGGAAACCAAGCGAAACCGCAGTTTGGTCCGTGTGTGTTTTTTTGAGCTCCCCCTGCTCCAAATATTTGTGTGTTGGGTCATATATGGTTTTCCATCGTGTTTGTTTTTAAGACAGGCTGTTCCGATTTAAAATGGAACTTGTGGTTGGATTATTTCCTTATCGAATTCTGTTTAAACTCAAATTGAATTGCAAAGCTCTATTGGGAACGGAGTTCTATCTAAATCTTAAATTCAAGCATCCTGATCAACAACAAGAACAAGATTCCCCGAGTCAGGACAGCTGACATAGTCGTGTTTTTTGGTTTTCTCGAGTTTGTCTGCTGTTTCTGCGAGATGTGCAAACATGTGCACTGCGACACAGTCCTGTTTTTCCTGTTTATTATTGTTTGGTTTGCTTGTTTTTAGTTTTTGGGTTCGTTTTGTTTTCATTCTTTCCTGAGAACAGATCATATAACCACAACACTGCGCACGTTTCGGGTGGCCTGTTCTGGAAAAATGGGTGTTCGGAGTAGAGGTGCCTGTTGGGGGGGCCAAAAGGAAGTTCAAAGGGACACCGTCCATAAAATGGGGTTCCCGAATAAGGACACACAAACACAAGTGGTCATACAACTGAGTGTTTGGGGGTGGTGTCTGTACGGGTCCCCTCTAAGGGGGGTGCGAATGGGGGACTCTGCACTTCCCGTTCAACTAGGGGAACTCTCTGATTTTCAACGCCCAATACGGGAGCAGCATATTTCGACTGTGGCTCATGAACTGACACTGCTTTGGGAAGGCTGCTATGGGGAGGAGGTGGGGGTGCCCACAAAAACCGGGGCACCTCACATGGAACCTCCGAAGATGGGTGGTTCCTGCGTTTCCCTTTTACATACAAAGGGTGTCAACTCCAGAAAGCATAAAGGCACCAAGGTGATGGAAGATTGGTCCTACATGGTTTCCCGTTGGCTTGCCAGCACCCCTACAAGGGAACTAAAGCAGGGAAGCCACACCCATTTGGGCAGCAGGATGTTGGGGAGGGGGCGGGCGAGGCCACAGATGGGTGTGTCGTTTTCAGGGATTCATTTTGGAGTCCCGAAGAAGACCAGCTTTCCAAGGGCCCGAACAACAGAAAATCAACAACACTTCTTTCAGCACCCGACAAGCAGTGGAATAGCACCCTGAGGGTGGTGTTCCAAAGAGGCCTCAGTCGATTTTGGACAACAACACACCGGTTGCAACTGGTCTTCAAAACTGCAACCAAGAGACACAGGCCCAGAGTTCAGCCCCGATATGGGCTCATCTTGTTTTTGACGCTGCCCTTGTTGGGGTTGTAAAGGACAACTAAAGTTGACATCAGCCATTCTTGGGTCCCGATTCCTTCGAGACAAACCCATATCTCCTGAGCGCTAGCTTCACATCTTGGGTCCAAGTGACGACTTTCAGCGATTTTCCTCTGCACAAGCCCCCAACTCTTCTGCTTTTGTCAACTATGTCCGTTCGAAGCAGTCCTTTGCCCGGCAGGGGTGATGTATCATATACTGATTCAGAGCCTATTAGTAACTATTGGGGGGCCAAGTATTCGATATATAAATATATATATATATATATATATATATTGTGACAAAGACCATGGGCCATATCCCAATGGCTCCCCTTATGGCTCTGAATCAGTATTGGAATGGGGGCTCCCAATTTCGAAGAAAAACCCGCAAAATATCGAATCAACTCATATCGGTTGATCCCCTATACCGTCCCTAAAAAAATCCCTGGTGAGCATTCTGTGTGGGCCTTTTTCGCTCAGAAACCGAGCCGGCGCACATCGTGATGCGCTTGATGCTTCTGCTGCTGGGGCTGGGCATTTGGGCGCCGCTCTGGGCCACCGTCGCTGCATCAGGCGCCGGGAGTTTTGGTCGCATTCCTTCGGAGCAGCGTGGGTGGGGGGCGGGTGGGGGTTTGGGTGCGGGGGGCTCCTTGAAAAAGACGTATTCTCCCAGTTTGATGGCACCTTTTGGGCTTCTCTTTCAACTTTTGGTGGGTCCCTTGGCGTTTCGGAGATGTTTTTCTTGCTCGAGGCAACCAGGGGTTTGCGACCTCCAGACATTTTGCATAATGGTTTCCCCTGGCTACTAGTAGGCTGGATTCTCTTGGTTCATTCTGAGGAAGGGCACTAAGACCATTGCAGGCGGACTGGACCGGTGTCCATTTCATGGCTCCCATGGTTACACCATTTACGGACACTCGGGGTTCATTCAGCCTGCAATGACCGGTGTTTGGGGGCAGCGGCGCCAGGTTTCGTCTTCGCATGCACCCGAAAGTCCTTCGACCCTGACTGCCCCACCCAGTGTGTCGCTATCTTGCTGCTTGGCTGGGATCTGGGTGTGCTGGTGGGGTTGTAGGGGAAGCCCAAAGGAGATCAACCCTTTTGGGAAGTCCCTCCTTCTGAGACGAATCCTCTCGCGTATGAATGCCCTTCGCATGGCTATCAAACATAGGGCCGACCAGGTGCAAGTGCAGTTAGAGGGAGACGGTCCCAGCCAGGAACAGGTGCGGATATCTGCCCTTTGCTTCTTTGCATGGCGTGGAGTCATTCTCATGACTCAACCAGGCCGAACCCCCAAAGAACAAAGCCAAGGAGCAGCCTGAAGATAACCAAGCACAGCCAAAGGCAATCAAAGATCAAAGATGACCCTACAAGGAGCCACCAAGGAACAACCAAGACACAAACAGAAAGTACAGCGCGCAGAAGATCACCCCAAACCTTGCCGCTGCACGCGCATCTCACGGACAGCGAGGATGCTGGTGTTGGCGTACACGCCCTGTGACCAGAGCTACAGCGTGAGCGCCTGGTTGCGGCAGAAGTTCCCACAGACCCGAGCGGTTCTGGGAGGCCAAAGGGCGTGAAAAAGTTGGAGGGAGGTCCATTTGGGTATGCGTCAAAATTTTGAGCCAGCAGGGGACCGCAGGTCTTGGTCCTTGTTTACCTGGGTTCCATTTCGAGTACCTATTTCTGACCCACAGCCATTTGATGTCCTTTGGTGAGGGTACGCTTTTTGAGGTGGTTTTAATGGAAACCAAAGGGAAGCCGATGCCGGGTCTCCTCCAAGTCTAAGTCAGCAAGAGTAGAAGAAACATCTGAAGCAGAATGTCCCGTGCCTGGACATGGTTGTTTTGAGCTTGATGGTTATAGGCAAACCGCTTTCTGTGGCCGGCCAAGGATTCGACTTCCCTTGAAAGACAGTTGGGATGGATGAAACCCTTGTGTTGGGATAAGCCAACTGCGAATTGTGCGAAGTGGATTTTGTCCATCCACGGTGGCGGGAATCTGCAGATATTCTTGTACAAATTGGAGGTTGGGAGTTGGGGGTCCCTGATTCTTGAGCAGCCGTTGACCAAATTTTGGGGAGGACGAGGTTGGCGGGACATGCGGATCCCCCCCCCACCGTTCCCCTGCCGAAAGGTTTTGAGAACCCGATGAGCATCCGTCGAACGGTTCCTTCCGTTTGCTCCCCCTACTTGGGCCATTCATCGCGATCCCCTGTTCCAACTCCACAGGCAGCACGGGTTTGGTTTCGTGCCAGGCCTCATGTGTTCCTCAATATGGGTAGCGGGCCCCCTACAAGGGTTGCTTTGTTGTGGTTTCTTTTCGCTTGACGGCAAGCTAAAACAAGCTCCCATATGTGACATGGTCCAAGGACCCTCTTGATCTTGGAACAGGACCCGTACTACGGGAACCAAGGAGTTTGGTCACCCGTGTGGATGTCTTTTTTGAAGAGACAGATTGAGTCCCCAAGGTAGGCCTCAAGCTTCCTGATTTCCATTTGAGGAAATCAGCATAAATAAATTTTGATTTTCAGCCCCGACTCCCCAAAGAGGAAAATTGTCCCCAAGGCCCTCCAAAAGCCTCATTTTGAGAGACAGCACATAAGTGCCTCCCTTTTGGCACCAAAAAACACCGCCTGGCAACACACGCCAAACTCAAAACGCTTGTCGTTGAAGGTGGGACGATCTCAACGAAGAGGTCAAGATTCCCCTCTCTCCTTCGCCATGTCTTGATCTTGACTACGTGGGTATGGGTCAAAGTTAAACCACCAGGGAACTGCAGGTTTTAGTCCGTGATTCCATTTACCAGGGTTCTATATTGGGTCCCTATTTTTGATCCACACCCATGTCAACTTCTTTCTGGAGCTGTTTCTGAGAACGGGCCTCTTCAGGCAGGTTTGCTCGGAGCCGTTCCGAAAAGATGACTTTTGAGGGCAGAAACCCGGTGGGAGATTCAGTGATACCACCGGTAGCTTCCGAATTAACCTTTTCCAGGAAGCTTTTCTGGTATTACAGGACTGGAAACAAGCACCTCACTGCTGCAACTGGGTGTGTCTCTTTTTTGCAGGATGCCCGTTTCGGAGTTGGGTTTTTCAAGGACACCAACCGATTTCTTTCGGAGGGTGCCCGTTTCGGGGTTTGGTTGTCCAAAAAACACCCACCAATTTTCCACCGAACTCCCCTAAACTTTCCATCCCATCCCATCCCTCCCTACTGTGCACGAAATCCGTTCGCACCACTTTGAAGCCATGGTTGAAACCATTACGTTTCTTGGTGTTTGTGGTTTAGTGGTTGAAATCCAAATCCACTGAACTGCTAACATTTGAAGATGTTTGCTCCCCTAACCCAACGTCAACCAAGATTCGGGACCGCTGGAGTTCGATAGGCGTGGAGCCGGGCTCGATCTGGGCCAAGAGCCTCATGCGGCTGCACATGAGCCTCATGTAGCTTGGCTCCGAGCCATCCGTTTCCTTGCCTCTTTAGCCTTTTTTTAGTGGTAGTGTCCATGAGTTCGTCACATTAAAAGCGGGGGATTTCTCAAAACGGGCGGCCCAGGTACTTCTGCGCTGCAACCTTCAAGATCCAGCCCTATTGGCTCAACACCGACGGCGGGACTCTCTACAAGGAGCCAGGGGGGATGGCGGACTTCAGCCCCGCAGACTTCAGCCCTGCAGAATAAAGGGTGTGTGTTTGCGAAGGCAGTTTCCGTCCGAAAAAAAGAGGTGTTCTGTGATTTGTGTAGGGAAGTACTTCAGTGTTCGAGATCATTTGCGCTCATGCGAAGACACCTGTGGTCCAAATGTTGGGAAACTCAAAAGGACCAAGTGGATGCGCTGTTATTGGGAAATAAATATATATATATAGATCAAACATGTGACAGGAAGGAACGGCGGAGATGAGCAACCATAGTATCCACCAACGCCATGTGAGTCCCCTTTCCGTGGGTTATAACCAGGGTTACAAACAAACACGCACAAGAGAAGACTCAACTCGCCCCAACAAAGCACCTGAAAAAAAAGACTCGCCCCTCTTTAGCCAGCCGCCTGTTCTGTAGGAGGTGCACATCTTCGACCTGGGCCCCTTGCGGGACGTGTGGCACTTGGTGCTGAGCTCCGAGGGCTCCATGCGCTTCGTGGCGCACGTCATGGGTCTGTCGGTGATCGTGGTGGAGATCGCCGTGGCCTTTGGGTTTTGGAGCGCCCGGGCTTGGAGGGTGGGCGGGGGGGGGGGGGGTGAGGCCCACTGCAGGTGCCTATCCCCGGAGGGAACTGGAACCCTGTGGTAGTTGAGGTCGTTGTTGGTCCCTGGATCTATTCCGGAGAGAGTCCAATATGCCAGTAATGGATGATTGGAGGATGGATTGTCCCTGGTGGATTGTCTTGTGGATAATCCTGCAAGCGGCCTGCAATGGCTCTTTTGTCTTCACGCTCGGATGGTCGTGATTCTGCAAAAGGGGCCCTTGAGCCAAATGTTGCGGGATATCAATGGTCTGAAACACAGAACACAAAACAGACACAAATTTCTTTTGATCTCCAGCACAAAGTATGAAATACGATTGGCTTCATGGCCTTTGACCGTAGCCTTGATGTGTGCCGTAGCCATGTGTATTAAAAGTGCCGGATTCATCCTTTTTCTGCTTGGATGAAATGTCTTGGCCTTCGAAATGGGAAACACTATGTACTGCTTCTTTTTGGATACCTAAATGTATCAAAGGGTGATGTACAACGCTATGTACACGCGGAACGATTGTGAAACTATTGATCTCTCACTCATGGAATAGTCTTGTAGACGACGAGGATCAATCATCTGGATTGTTCGTGGTGCTGAACGTATCTTCATGGTCAGTCGGATCGATGATACCATCGGCGACTGCTGTCGGATTGATTGCCATAGTCTCCATAATCATTCCAGGTCGAAGTGCTATAGTCCTTCCACTGCTTCTGATGTCCCCACTGCTTGTTGTAGTCCTTGTACTCCTGCGGGATCCAGGATGATTGCTTCTTCTTGATGTAATCCTGGTACCTCTCAGAGCTGCGTTTACTGGTTGCAGATTTGCTGTGGATGTAAACCATGAGAGGACTGTGGGAGTCGGAGTCCTGCGAGCCGTTCATGAACATTTCATTGTTCACGTGCTTGTAGCGCTCTGCGGATGAGACCTGGTAATCGAATATGGCCTTGGTTGGATGGTTCCGCATGAATTCCAGTTGTTCATCATCCATACCGTTCATCTCGTCCTTCCGGAAATCCTGCTGGATGTTCGTTTTGCCCCATCCAAATACGATAGTCATCATCACATCTGGGAATGTTCGATCAAATCCTGATCCGCATTTCATGTACAGGTGATGACGGACAATGGATTTCAGGGTGCACGAAGTCTGCATACTCCATTCTGTCCACGAGTGGCAAATTCTTCGTTTCATTCCACAGCCTCTGATATGTCCTCATGAGGATGTTCACGAGACCGTTGGCCGGATTGTAGACGTGCTGGAGTTTGGCTCCTGGTGGAAATGTGTCTTGCCAGAAGTTCCACTCGTGCAGAGGGTCCGCCGCGGACAGAGCATGCGATCGGTCTGGATGACCATTGCTTGATCACGATGCCCTTGTAACCGTATCGGATGAACGTCTTGATGAGCTCCCTGGATTTCTCATCATTCGGACTGAAGAATGCGTCTGCTTCATTCAGGCATAAGATGTGTGCACTGTTCTGCATCATCATCTTGACGATCGGTCGATCCTTCATCGGCATGTTGTGCACCTCCCTGTTGTCCAGCTTTGGATTCCTTGTGAGGTTTCCATGGTTCAGGGTAAGCATGTTGATCGCTATGGATGAGGTGAACTCATGCATGTTGAGATAGTCCACGGGAGGACGGTCAGTCGGCTGCATCAGCGATCCCAGGATATCGGCATAGGCTCGGATGATTTTCGGGTCATCATGTGACCTGAGCTTCTTCAATCCAAGCGGAAGCTTGATCGGATATCCGGATCCTGGTTGAGCTTGCTTGTACTTGTCAACGGTGGGACCTTCTCCTCGATGAGGGAAGTAGAATTCTCCTTCACCGAGATTGACATCGGGATCGACATGTGCCAATGAGGCTCTCTCGCACTCTGTCAAGTTGGGATGAGCTCTTCTTGGGTCTTTGTTGAACTGATTCATGTAGCGGGTGAGGTTCTCCCTGGTCCCCGCGAGCTCTTCCTCTGCGTCCTTTTTGTTCATATCTGTTTCGAGATAGATTTCCTTGAGTTCTTGGATGAACTCATCTAGGTTCTCTGAATTGTGATATTCCACGATGACCTTCAGCTTGACGGATCTTTCCCCGGAGGGTTCCATCATCTCTCCTTCAGTTGAGTCCTGATCGGTGGAATGCCGTCTCTTCTTGGTCTCTGAGGAAGTATCTTTTTCCTTGTTGTGCTTGGTGGAATTCACATAATTGAAGAAGGCATCGGCGAATTCGCGGATCTTGGTGTCGTACATCTCGTAATCTTCATGATCGAGATGCTTCTTCATGATCCACTTGTTGCTCGCCATGAGGCTGCCATCAGGTTCAAATGCTGCAACAATGTTTCTTGCCTCGATGGTTTTGTCTGTCAACGCTGTTCTCTCTTCGGAGAGGCGGATGCCATAGTCTTGGTCCTTGAGAAATGCAAGGATCAACAGTGCATCTCTTCCTGCTGGCACATGGGTCAATGCGGCTTCTGACTCATCGTCTTCGAGGATGACGTCATCGATGCATGCCATGTGGACGTGCAGTCTCCCCAAAGGGTTTGACTGGAATTTCCCAGATTTGAGCCCGTGCTCCATGATGCTGTAGAGCTGATTTCCATAGGTTGCATGGAACATGAATGTGATGGGCTTCTTCGAGAACGGCTAGATCTTTCTCTCTTCTTCAATGGATGGTGGTGCCGGCCTTCGCATTCTGTACTTGGGCTGAGCTGTGCCTTCACCTTCATGAGGCGCCTCGGATCTTGACGGATGCGGACTTGGCGGAATGGATTCCGTTGGGAGATCATAGTCCGGTTCGTCGTGATGAGGCTCCTTCTGCTCAGAGTACAGGGGTCGTCCAAAGGATTGGATCTCAACTTGTCGTGTGTGTCCGCTGTTGCACCTCACATAGAACTCCATCTCTGAATCAACATAGAATTCCTTGCCATCGGGCCTGAGTGCATTTTGTGCGGATCTTGTGTTGAGCTTATCGATCCATCGATTCCTTGGAACAATTTCTCCCCGTGCCTTGCGCTCATTATATTTCCCGTCCACGGATGGAAATACGAACGCAATTTCGAAACGTGATTTTCCATAGCTCGGGAACATAGCCATCAAGAGAAGTCCTGGCTTATTTCCACTGAAGTTCCTGGCATGTGTGATGCAGGTCAATGCGTCATAGAGCTCGACGGATCCATCAGGACCCATTTCCACTTGTCGTTTGCATTCCTTATTGATTCCATGTCTTGGATCATGTCGAAGACATCCGGAAAACGATCTGCTCATTCTCTCAATTCGCCAGAGGATGAGATCTGTGATCTGTTTCGCCTTGGATGGTTCCATGCGGAAGTATTTGCAAACCTGTTCGACATTCTGGACGGTCTTCTCGAGATCAATGTTGCCGTTGTGGCATACCATCGGGATGATGTCGGTTCCGTAAACTTCGGATTGAGCATTGGTGTAGCAGCAGATGCTATAGACCTTCTTGATGAAGTCCATGTATTGCTTCTCTGCATGGTTTCCTTCACCTTGGAGTGTTGGTTGCCAGTAGTCGTTGAATCTTGCCTTCAACCAGAATACCTTAACTCCATGTGGGTCTCTCGTGCTCAGGAACGAAGTGGAAATCCGGATTGACATCGAGGATGGTTGAGCATTCCTTGTAGTACTCGTGCACAAAACTCAGGAATTTTGAGTTTCCGAAAGGTCCTGGGTGTACGGATTCCTTCTGGAGGCTGATGTCTGTATCCGATCCATTTGTTACAAACCACCGATCATTGGATGTGAGAACTGGCCGCATCGCTGGTCGCCTTGGAAGCGCAGGTCGATCACCAGGATGATTGTCGGATTCCGTCTCTTCATCCAGGATGTTTTTTGGTGCTGGCTTGACTTTGGAGACAAGCCTCAATGCTGGTGGCGGTGACTTTGGAACAAATTTCGGATGTGGCATCGCCTTTGACAAAGGCCTTCCTGCGAGAGGATGCCCTTCTTCATCTGAATCATCGTCATCGGAATCTCGATCATAATCAACCTGCTCCATGTTGACATTCTCGGGTTGTTGAGAGGCGGATGGATTCTCATCAGCGACTTGCTCCATGGGGCAATCGGATGTCTCATCTTCCTCATCACGAGCAGGGGATTCCTTCAATGGTGATGCCCGCCTCTTGATCATCGGCTTTGGCACAGGTGCCGCATCGCCGGATCGTCCAAACATCAGGTTGAGGATGGGCATGTCAACGAGGTGATCGAGCATACAAGATTGCAAAGGTCGGATTGGTTGTAAACCGAAAGTGGCTGCGGAGGCAGACACATATTTCTTGAGATTCAAAATGGGTCAAGTGCAAACACGCGCATCACGGAATTGAGGAATTGAAAATATGCAAAACTGAAAAACTCATGCATCAGAATTCGTGGACATGCGGATCATGCCCAGGTTCCCCAATAAGCAAACATGGGTTCTGCTATACCGACTCCTGCAAAGGCAATGATGTCGGGTCCGTGCTTCGTGTTGCGTGCTAGCCACTCAACCAAGAATGCCTTGTTCTGCAACATGGTACGAAAGGGTGGATGTGCATCTACATTCAAGAGATGTCGTCCTTCAGGAGGAGTGTCGTCCTTCAGGTGTTTGTCAAAAGTGATCTCCTGCAGTTCGTCGATGGCAACGTTCTGATGAACATTGATGTACCAACCGTGCTTGTCATCTTGCTTCCATTGGATGCGCTGTCCTACGAAAAGGCAATCATTTTTGTCCTCGGAACCAACCTGAAAATCTTTCCGAAGTCGTCCCATGATTTCCTTCTCGAACACGTCATCCCCCGTCATAAGAAGATCATCTACATGAAGAGACAGTGCTCCATGAACTTGTCGATTCTTAGCATTGTTACCAGAAACAGGATCCATCAGGTAATCAACTGCTCCTGCTAGATCGAAAGTTGTGGATGATTTCTTTTCACTCACCAATGCGGGCTTCGGAAGCTGCTTGCCGTAGTACACGTATGT